GCAGTTAGTGTTTTCCATACGTTTTTTTAATAAAAAGTTTGACTACACTGTTGAAAATGTGGTAAGCATGAAGAGCCAGCAAAGAGTAGGAAAAATGCAATAATTACACAGTGGATGTGCGAGTTGAGAGAAGCCTCCACTGAGAGATGGAGAAGAGCTAGCGCCTGAAGCATAGGGAGGAGGAGAGGGCTATCCTTCCCACTGTATGTGCATGTTCCAGCGGATGACTGCAGAAAATGAAAAGCAAGCTTTGTAAGAGACAAGAAGAGTACTAGCACCATTCAAGGTTGATAATGGGGATAAGTATCTCAGGAAAAGATACCAAAATGTGAGGAAGAAGTAACAGTGATTTTCAGCAAAGAAACTGGGAAAATGCAAACTCTGCATTTTCACATGCGAATGCTGAGATGGGGTGCTCCGTTATTAACCCCATTCATATGTCCTCTTGCCTCTCTTTCACTCTAACGCTTCACTTTCAAGTTAGTTAAGACATTAGTCCAGTTAAGAACGATCTCATACGTGACAGCTTTCTAAAGCATTTTCTGACAAAGTGGATCCTAGCTCAGTGGACCAAACAATTGAATTGATTCTGTAAGAAAGAAGCCTGAAGGGACTGATTAAAATAGTGTTGGATAGGTATTGATGATTTTTGTCCTCCTTATAAAACAGTTTCCAAGTCAAATGCTATGCTTTTTTTTTTCTTTTTTTTTTTTTTAAAAATTACCTCGTTGGTTCTATCAAAGTATTCTTCATCATCACCAAGTATGATAATCCAAATGCAGGACATACTGTGCCTGGGCAATAATGGCTTTTTTTTCCTTACAGAATAGATTTGAACTCTTAGGTGTCTTCTACCAAATGTGAATCACAGAGCTTAGAGTTGGGATGCGCTGCAAGATTTGAGTACTGATGCTAGGCGCAAAAAGTATAAAAGATAGTTTGCTTTGTGCTGTCTCAGGCACTGTGTATTTTGACAAGCAGCAAAGGATGTGAAAATAACTTTGTGGCTTATAGCCTCGCATTTGTGGAGCCATAGTCTTCCCTGAATAGATTGGATTTAGGCTTCTGCTGTATCTGACTTGCCTCTGGCTTGAAATAGGTCATCATCTTTATTACATTGCAAGGGAGTGCTTATTTGCAAAATTAATGCACAGTTATCCACAATAGGCAGATACAAGTTGATATATTCCAGTATATCTGGAATATTTCCAGTCTTCTGGCTGCCTGTGTCCATGTTAGTCTGCGTCAGCTTCCTTGTGTCAGCAGCACTAGAAGGAGAATCAAATCTAATCTCTTGTGATAGAGAATAACCTTAACCTAATGTTACCAGATAGGACAGAAAAATTTATTTGATGCTTTTTTTGGAAAAATGATAAGGTTATCCAAGCTGTAAAGGATTCATTACTTTTTCGTGGAACTACAATGAAGCAGTGTGTCTCAAATAACCATGCTGCTTCCTGTGGAAAGGGACTGGACTTGCATATGGACGGTACTAGATGCATTGCAGATTTACTTCAGAATGCGTTAAGATTTCTAGCAACTGTCTCTTAGGCTGGCACTGGTTTTTGTATTTCTGCAAGATACTTGGCAGTTGTGGTTTTATGGTTTCCTATAAGTGTGGAGTTTTGTAAGTATAGTGAAGTGCTCATAAGAGTAACAAAAAATAGGTCTGTTCTGACCAGCAGGCTTCTGCAGTTTTCTTTTACTTCTAGAGAAAGCGTGAATAAAGTGTGGATAAAGGGATTACTGTGAGATCTCGAGGAAGGAATGGTATTAGTATGTATGCATTTAGCTTGAAAAACTTGGTTTTATTCTGTTGTCTAGGAACAAGCTCTTTGGTCCAGAACTGATTGCTAAGAGGATTCTATATTTTATGGTTTTGCTGACTCTGTTGGTAGGTAGTTCTTCGCTGCTGTCCTGGAATGTACGTCGTTGTGGGGAATGAGACACTTACTAAAATCCTAGGCAATTTTTGTATACTTAAGTTTTATTTGGACAGTTGAAAGAAACCCGTATGTCTGTGAGTGCGTCTGAACTCAAGAGATTTAATTCTTAAGAACGTAGTGTTTCAGGTGTTTTCCACAGAGATGATGGGGATATGTCTTGGCTCAAAGTCTGTAAGGCTGAGCTGGTGCACATGATGCAAACTTAGCTGAGATGAGTTACCTGAACAAGCAAGGCTGCGACGAGAAAAGACAGGCTGAAGTTGCTGGCTCTGCTGGCTGAGTAAGTGCAACAGGTATGGTGTATTTTTTGTGAGGCGGAAGCTGTGGGTACTGTGGTGTGCAGAAGCAGACGTTTTTGAGTCGCATGAGGTCACTTGCACAGAGCACCAGTTCTGAATTCCAGTTAGGAAAAGGCTCAAGTTCCTTCAATTGAATTGGAGTAGTCATAGATCCTGCATAGTAGAATGCAATATACTTGCACAGAAGTTGATTGTCAAGGAGCTAGCTAGGTAAGAGATACTCTGGACCACAAAAAACTGTGTATAAGCATATTCACTGACATGGGAAGCCAGAAGGTAAGTTTTCTGTAAGTAAAAATAAGTAGAAGTTGCCACTTAAAGGGAAATTGTGAAGCTTGGAAATTTGCCATGGCATATGTGTTCTTGTGCGTGTGAGTAGGGATAGAATATGCTAGTCAGTACTAGATTTGTGAAAGTTTTTTCAGCTTGTCAGAAGACTTTTGATGAATATGGCATACAAAATAGGTTTTCCATTTCTGTGAGCAACAAGTAATGATTTGTTGCTATGGTTGACTTTGATAAATTTCCTTCTGCCTTCAGCGTACTTTTAACTGTGTGAATAGCCTTCCTAAGATGATAGAAATCCATATTAAGTTTGCCTGTAAGATTCACTTGTGGAAAGGCTTTTGGTTTAGTGCACAGATTTATAGTAGGTAATTCAAGGCACCATTTCCAGCTCCTCTGAGCAATGTTGTCTTCCACTAGACTTTAACTTCAGCTTCTTCAGGTGAAGACATTTTTGCCATAGCCTGGCAACTGGCAGTAAGTGTCAAAATTTTTTATTTTCTTCATTAGTCACTCAGTTTTTGCTCTTGTCATGATATCAACTTAGCAGGAAGATTTCTGTGATTTTTTTGCCAACATCTCATAAATAACGTGCTTCTGTTGTGCATATTGCTGTTGCTCAGTTATATTTGTTATTCGATGTCTTTACTGTAAGAAAAGAGAGAAGCAAGGTTGTGGTTATGGCACAAAATAGAAAATAACATATGAGCAAGGAAGTTATTCATTATCAATCTTCAAAAGTATTTGGAAACTCAACTGACAGGGGTTCATTCTACTCAGCACTGGTGAGGCCACACCTGGAGTGCTGTGTCCAGTTCCGGGCTCCCCAGTACAAGAGAGACATGGCTATACTGGAGAGAGTCCAGTGAAGGGCCACGAAGATGATCAAGGGTTGGTGAAAGGAAGATGGAGCCAGGCTCTTTTCAGTGGTGCACACTGACAGGGCCAGAGGCAGTGGGCACAAACGGAAACACAGGAGGTTCCTTCTGAACATCAGGAAGCACTTTTTTAATGTGAGGGTGACTGAGCACTGACACACGTTGCCCAGGGAGGCTGTGGAGTCTCCATCCTTGGAGATACTCAAAAACCATCTGGACGTGGTCCTGGGCAACCTGATTGAGCAGGGGGTTGGACCAGATGAACTCCAGAGGTCCCTTCCAACCTCAACCCTTCTGCGATTCTGGGTTACTTTCAGTGAAGCATCTTCCCTCCCCACCTCGCCCATTGCCAGGCATTTAAGTACTGTAAATTGTTGATATTGGTTGTGGTACAGTACGTGTTGAGGAAAACCTTTTGGTGGGTAGAATTGCCAGAATGACCAAATAATAGAAGTTGCATTAAGTACTAATGAAACCTGTTTCTGAAGGTAATCCTGAGATGATTCCTTAGTTTGCCAAGAATTTTCTGTATACACCCGCAGGTTAACAGCGTGTTACCAGTTACACAGTAACTAAACATCCTAAACTCTTATATTGAGCAGGTTAATTGAAATATTGTTGATTCAAGCTTGTTCTTTTCACCAACCATACAACTAGCTCTTGTCATCTTGGGAAAAACTAGCAAAATACAGAAATCCTCCTCTTTGCTGCTGGTTGGCAGTCCTAGCTTCAACATGATAAGTTGATTGCAAGTTGAGAGCAAGCTGACTTCCACAGTTGCTTCAAGGGAATTTACATACAGAATACTTGAATAGCACACTCTGTTTGGTGTCCCCTCGCTCCCCTCTTCTAGTTTGGGTTGCTTGTTCCTGAGCAAACTATTTTTGCTTGACTGTAGCTTCTTGATGACATCTTTGTTCTGGTATCTGTTCTAAAACTTGGGCTAGAAGTGAATCAATTATTAGTTTACTTTAGGAAATTACTGGCAAGTAACTGATGTCTAGAATTAGAAAGGGTAAATAAAGTGGTGTGCAAAATGTGAGTTCTGATTTTACAGTTTGTTTCTTTGTGAATATCGCAAGTTATGTAGTAAAACTTGGTTTGATCCAACTTGGATTGGATCCTATTATTGGTGCCTACTTTAGAATGTGAAGTTACTTGCATCTTCTTTTTAAAGAGGTAGGTTGTCACAATTTGTAAATCCAGACCTGGTCTTGAGGCTGTATATATTATAATCTGTGAAACAGATAGGAGTTGAACTGAAAAAGGTAACAGGAATCTTTAAAATTCTTTTGGAAGAAGCACTGTGTGTATTAATTTCTTCCATCCTGGGTCTAATAACTGTGACGTCATCATTTTTTTTCCTGATAAATAGTTTGAATAACAGTACCTATGAAGAAGAGATTCTCCTTTTCCTCCCTCTTCCCCCACTAGAAATTTCTGACTTTGGTTGGACTAAAGTAGCTTCTTCAATCAGTGTAGCATTATTGCTTTAAATGTTTGGGCTTGTGCTTCACAAAGGTATTAATTAGGATTCATAGTACTGTTCACCTACAATAGTCTCAAAGTCCTAAAATTGACTCTTTCAAGATGTTGTGAAGAATGAGTAACAACCTGAGTTGTTTCATAGTACAGTGCCCTAAGTTTTGTCTGTGTGCTAGAGGTAGATGTCTTTTTCAGATCATGTCCAAGGTCTTGGACTACTTGCAGGGTAGACAGAGTATAGAAGTCAGGGTATAGAAGGTGCTTTTTAAGATCAAGACATCCTATTCCCATGCAAATAGAACACTAGGTCTAGGTTTTGTGAATATTGTTTATACAGATTACTTAAGGTTTGATAGAAGAACTCCTTCACTAAACTTTGTAGTACTGTAGAAATTGGGTTGCAAAGTCTTGCAAGAAAAATACTTAATATGGTTTTGATAAACATGAAAGATAAACTGTTCTTAAAAGTTGTTTATTCAGTGGTTCCTGAATTTTAAAACCAAATTTAATTTTTCTCTGTTTATCTCAGAAGCAAGCTGTGTCTTACTGACAGTGGATGAACGGGATAGCTTTGTTCACTCTTTTACTGATAATTAAAATACTTTTATTATGGACTTCTGTTATTAAACATCAAGAAAATGTAATTTGTTTTAGGACAGATTCTCTAGGCTCCTTTTGATTATAAAAATTTTTAATTTTCTGTTTTAGGTGTGGAATATCAAACAGATGATTAAATTAACACAAGAACATATAGAGGCACTGCTAGACAAATTTGGAGGAGAGCATAACCCACCATCGATATACTTAGAGGTAAGTCTACATTCAAATGAATGTGGTTAGATTACTTATATAAGGCATCTTATGTTAAAGCTGAGAATACCTGTAGTAAAAGAGAATATTCTCCTTGTATATTAGAAACTTAACTGTTTCCCTGGAGATAGAAAGGAACTGTGTAGGATTCCTGATACACATCAGTAGGGGAAGATCAGTTGCATGGTCTAATAGTTGTGTTGGTGCAACTGAAATGTAAAACATTCTTTTTAGGTGCGGGGTGAGGGAAAGATTGTGTGTGTATAATAGGAAAAGGCATGCTGTGTTTTTAAGAGAAAATATATACATATACACATGAAAACATCTCTTATAAAACTAACATTGCCTTTAAAGCAGTTGACTTCACTTTTTTCTCTTTGAAAAATAATCATGTAGAATCCAAAAAATGGTATTAGTAGAAGGGAACTTCTTAAAGAAATACACAAAATTGTAGGGTGGAGTAATATTTTTTTAAGCTGTGTTTAATTTGTAAACTAACTACAAATTAAATTTCTGTATTCTTTCATCGCTCCAGATTCATAAAGTTGCATTGACGTAGGACCATTAAGAGCATAAAAAAGGACTGCATGCATAAGTCACATCTATTAGGAATTGAATGGGTATCACTTGCTCCAAACCCTGCCCTTTTCTTGGTTCTCTCAAGTATTGAAATAACTGGAGGTCAACAGGTTTCTTTTGTAGTCTTTTTAATTGTAATTGCTGCCTAAAGGCACTGGGCAATTAAAAATAAAGATCTCGTTATTTGAGGTACTTTTAGCTTTTATCTTAATATGTCAGAGCAGGGCACTAGCTTGATTATACAAATGTTGACATAATGTCCTTAACAGTTAAGGTCAAATGAGGCCCTCTGTAGTTGCTTTACTTATTGCTAATGTGAAATGGGAGTATTGAATGAGTCCTAATCACTGTTCTAACACTCGATGGTATATAAACACACCTCTGTTTTCACATGAACCGGTTCATTCCATGTGTCTGGATTTAATATTGCCACATGTATGTTTCTTTCATTAGATTGTGTATCGAATTACAATAATAATGAGCTTAATCTGTTCTAAGTCTGGATTTCAGGTAGTGAAATCCTTAGTTTATTATAGCCATTAGTCACTTGCTTGTATCTAAATTAAAACTGAGACCCCTGCGCTGGAAGCTTTTAGATTATTCTGTAGTTCACTAGTAAGGAAGAGGGCATTTACAGTCATAAATGTGTACTGGGAAATTATTACGATAGTGTAAAGAGTATGGTAAGTCTGAAATAGTTGGTGAAGCTTAAAGTAGATTTTTAAGTTTGAAGGTTCCATGTGCTGCTGAGATGAAACTGCAGTTCTGGCTCATCAACGTGGCAGGGAAGCTCTGCAAGACGGAGCAGGGTGTTCTTCTGCTGCAGTGAGTTCTGCTGGATCATGAAGCCAGTCTCGTGACAAGTAGTGCTGGTACTGACTAGGGAGCAGTAAACCATTGGGAGGAAGATGGGAGTGACTGGGATTCTGCTTTTTCAGTTGAACACAGCCAGTCCTGTGAAAAGAGCCCACCATCATTGAAATGAAAAGCCTTGATTTTCCCAGCTCTTTGCTATGTGGTTCCTCTGCTACCTTTGTTCAGGTACTTACAGTACCAGTAGTGGCTAAGCCACTTCCAATCACTAACCTGGAAGGAAAATATTCTGGTTTTGTTGGATTAGTTTGCCATCCAGTTAGTAGATTGAACTTGGTCATGGTGAAGTCCAGTGAGCCCCAAAGCTGTGGTTAAGGTAAGGGAAGGGAAGAGCTTGCAGCTGTGAGCCAAGAACCTAGAAAATGGGGTAAGAGAGAGAGGAACTTTCTCTTTGGAGGGTTGTTAGCTTAGATTAGATCGTCCTCAGATGGATTGATTGAAGTGAATAGGATTAAATGCTGCAAACCTGTCATTTGTTTAGTGTGTAGATTTCCTGTGGTAGAACTGAATTGTGAGGGAAAGAAAAAGAAAAATAGATTACAGAGTACCTGATACAGTCAGAAGCAAGATTACTGTCTACCCTTGACTGTTCATTTCAACACAGCAGCGGTTTTCTGGTGCATCCTTTCTGTGCATTTCCCACCTTTTTGGCTGCTTTTGGCTTGATCAAGAACAGGGGTTGCTTTCTGTTGTCAGAATTTACTTTGCTGCAATTTGCCTGAATCTAATCTGTCACTGATAGAGCTAATGTTTTGACTTTCTGCATTCCTCTACCTGTCAGAAAAAGGGCCAGAACAACCCTGGTTGCAGCATTAAAGGTTCAATAGATAACATGGCTGTCTGACATCCATTAGAAATAGCAAACTCCCGATGTACAGAGCCGCTGTGCTATATTGGGCCTGTTGCTCAGTTCCGTACCAGGGCATCATCACTGACTTCTATGCACGATCCCTCTTTCCCCCCAAGTTTTCACTTCTAGGCTGTGTCTAGGTCTTGACACTATGCTTTGTGTACTATCTCCAAAGTGCTTGAACAGGAAGGTAATGTAACTTATACTCCGTCCATCCTCTTCTGACTTTTATTTTTGATTGTTTTGCTGAAGTCTCATTTCTGGCTGTAAAGTGCAATATTGCCCTGATTTTGCCCAGAATCTGTATGGATGATTTTGCTAGTCTGCTACTTGGACTGCATCACCCTTGCCTTTGTTTCCTTCTGCTGCTCTGATCTCTTTGCATCTTCCATAAAATTTAAGCAACTTTTAAGGACTTCTGTAGATTGTGCCAATTGATCATCTCTTGAGTGCTATCAGCAAGCATGTTGTCTGCTTCTCTTAGCAAAAGTTGGAATTAGCCAAAGCTAATTGCTAGATAAGTACCTGCAAATGAACACTTGCTTTCACCCATATTGCCTTTCACTGTTGTAAACATCTAGTTTGTTATTGTAATGCTTTCTGCAAAACCATGGCTTTTTGTATACCTATGAAAAGCTTGACAGCTATCCATCCCTCTTCTGGTGTGTACAGTTTCAGTACAATAGGATTTGTTCGGTTCTTTTGTACTCCTGTCTGGTTTTATATCCTTCCTTTCTTACGCATCCCACTAACGGCTCACATTCACAGAACTTAGAGCACTCCTTGCGCTGGCTCCTGGCCTGTGCTGGAGCTGCCTCTGTAGACCTGTCAAGTAAAGTTGTGATTGAACGCGGCGACAAAACTGCATTTCAATTAAGAGTGGAAAGGAAGGGGTTGGGGGAGCGGAAGCGCACTAAGGAAAGCTGAAGAATTGAACAAGAAAATTAATTCTGAAAAGTGAGCATTCAAAGGATGTAGTAAAATTGTTTGTGCATTGAATATAAAACATAGACCTCATTTAAAAATAAAAAGGAATTTATGCCTTAGTTACAGTTGCTCAAGAAAATAGAAGCTGATAAGCTTTTGTTTCTGTGCTCACCTAAGAGTAAGAAGACAAAACGTTTTTTTTTTGTGTCAGACTTTTTTTTTAATTCTGGGGAGGGTTCAATGCATTTAAATCAGAAGAACTTTAAAACTGACAGCTATTGTTACAGCCATCATTTCAGGATTCATCAATTGACTATGAAAGAGGAATGGATTTCTTGAAATATCAAAAGTGATTGACATATACTATGTTGAATTCAGCATATATTTAATTATTCCTGCAAGAGGGGGTACTCGGATTCAGGGGTATCTCCCTGCCTTGATCCATCAGTCCTCAGTGACAGTCTTGAAAAGGTGACTGTAGGGCCTGCAAGCCTGGGCAGGCTACTTTTGTGCAGCTGCTTAGGAGCGGAAAATGTAGCATGAAGCTGGAGGGCAGCAGGTAGCTTGTCTCTCTCCTCTCAGGGCAGGAAAGTAGGGGCTGAGGAAAGAGACCAAAGCTGCAGAGAGATTTCTGAGTGTGTGTATAAGGTACAGGGGTAGGAAACAAAACGAACAGAAGAAAGAAAAGAACGTTTGTCATTAACCACACATTTTTCTTCTAATTGTTATAATTAATAATAGCTTCGGGAATCTTACCAATGTTCTCTAATATGATTACAAGAAAAACTTTTCTGTTCCAGTTGGAAGATAAATGTAGTAAGCAGTGGCTGTATTAAAATCTAAAAATGGCTTATAGCTAGAATTCTTTCTTAGGTAATCCTAGTTCTTAACTTCTTCCATCCCCTGTGTGTGAGCATGTATCCCAGCTCTAACAGACTCCTGGAAATCACTGTCAAATATTTGAAATAACTGCTTGACTTAGTAGATATAGAAATATCACTAATAGCATTTTTCTTTTCTTCGGGAAGAGAGGCTGCAGGAGCTCATCAGTAGGTTTTACCACACTTTTTGGAAGCACTCTGTATCACAGCAGCTGAAAACATCAGTGATTTTTGTCTTCCCACATAATTTCTTGGTGCGTTATATCTGTCCTTGAAGTGCTGTTTCCCAAAATACACAGTTTGTGATTCACTGTGGAAAAACCCTTTTCTTAAGGGTTTGTCTAAGCATTGTAAATATTGGAGATCTTTACTGCAAAGAAGTCTAATATTATGATACTGGGAAAAGCTGGGATTCAGTTAGCAAAAATCATTGAAATACGCAGTTGTGTATTCTTCTGTAATGGCCATCAATTTTTTTTTTTTTCCTCTACCAACAAGTGCTGATGAAAAGGATAACCTAAGTTAGGGAAAGGAGAATAAAGATCTGTGCATTTCAACTTTGCATTGGCAACAAATGCTGTTTACAAACTGAAATGGGTTGTACAGATCCAGACTGACCAAAAGCAGTCAGCTCAAACTTAGAAAGGAGAGATCGTGCTTAGATGACTTAATCAGATTTGTTAGCCTTTGTAGACCCTTAATGACTGTTCAGGGAGGCCTTACCTATTCAAACTTCCAAAATGCATTGTGTGTCTTTCTTGCCTTGTAGTTATGTGTACAGTATTACCTACGAACACTTCATCTGTGAGAACTTAATTGAATTGAACAGTTTTAGCCCATTCATATGTAAATAGTTGTTCGTGTGGTGTGAAGTTGCATCCTGGACCTGT